ATGGAGAGTTTGGACATGGCCTTCCGGAGTTTCTGCTCGAGGAAGGTTTGTTCGTCTAGTATGAACCATCTTGGGTAGTTAAGCTCAAGAAGAGTAACTTTCGCCTTCTTTGAGCTCGTGGTAGTAATGGGAATCGAATTTTGCTTTTCCCCACAGACAACGCTAATGAGTTGTCCGGTGGTGAAGAACCAGGTATAATTTGATATAGGGAAGCTCTTATGACAATGGTATAGACCAAGGTCCTTGAGGAGCTACCCTGACACTATAGATCGTAATACAAGAAGGGGTGGGGGTTGGTGATGCTTCTGAATGCTGGTTTTGGATGTTGGTTCTTCAGTTGGACATAGTAATAGCTCATAAGTTTATCCAACAGTCTCCTTTTCTATGATAGAGAAGGGATATTTATAGGTGATTTTTACAATTAATGTAGTGAGACTTGCATTTAATGATGAGACCGTCTTCTCGTCGTTAGTTGCTTTTTCCTTGATATGTGGTACTACATTGGTTGTGTTTGCCTAAGATGGAGGAGGGTAGGGTCATCCATTTCTGTGGGTAGAAGTGACTTGTGAGGTCTTGAATATAAGTCAAATCAATGGGCCTGAGTCATGGGCCAGTGACTTAGTTGGCCAGAACAGTTTTAATTTAAAATTAAGATTTTTATATGAGAACATAAAATTAAAAAATAAAAATAAATTGTCTTTCCAAATGATATAATTTTTTTTCTTACCGTTTTTGGGCCATAACGATGTAGAAGCTTGATTTCCGTGTACTGTACCAATGATCGGATGAGCTTCATAGTGGATCATTAGCTATTTTTATGTTTTATAATTTTTTTTCTGTTTGTAAATATGATCTATATTTTAAGGTTGACATTGGGCTACCCACACATGTAGCACAACTATACAGTCCAGTTATAAATAAATTTAAGGTCGAGAATGCAAAGAGGTTAGAACTAATGTTGTCAAACTCGAGTTTCTACGTAAAAACAGAAATGGGTAATAGAAACGTAAAACGAAGAAACGACACGAAACGTAAAATTTTTACTTTCTACCACTTAAGGTCAAGATACAAAATTATATATGTGCATGTAAAAAAATATCACATAATGAACATGTGTGTGATACTTTCTACCACTTATCTATCTAAAAAGAAAAATTATTTTTCATAACCAAGTATCAAAATTATAAACAGTGATAATTAACCAGTAATGGATAACCAATATGCTCTAACTACTTTATACACTCTGCGGATTTTGGATCATCGCTCATCAGGATATAGTTTCACTTCTTTCAATGCACATAATGATCCAAAAACAGAAAGCGATTCTTATAGCATAACTTATAATAGAATTGCAGCTTTGTAAGACATAATTATAAAAAACATATATCCAAACAAAAAGATATTAAGATACTTTGAATATGATTTAGGGAAAACGAAAATTAGGTTTAATTTTTTATTTTATTTTTGTAAATCTTTTTTTTTAATTAAATTTTTAGTTTTAATTAAAAACGGTAAAAACAGTAAAAACATAAGTGTTTTTACCGTTTTTAGGTTTTTACACGGCGTTTCTACCAGTTTTTACCAAGGACAGTTTTTACTTGAGTTTTAACACACATCACTTTAGTAAAAACGTAAAAACTTTTTACGTTTTTACACTAGTTTTTGACAACAATGGTTAGAACTCAAACTAAGCACGCCTTTTCGTTCTTATTACAGTTTATTTAATGGGATTAATATTTTTCTGATTTTCTACAAATGTCATTTTGGGTTATAGAAAGAAAGATAGAATATGTTTACTACCAAATATTTCTACTATTAATCTATTATCATTCTAATCATTGTTGGATCTCACTTTCAGCAAATAATCTCTGAAGAATTTCTGAATAGAAAGAAAAAATAAATTTTAATATACTTCTCAGAGTACATAATTATATTAGAGTGATAGTGGATTAGTAGTAAAAATATTTGATAATTAGAATATCCTACCTCATGAAAAAAAATATGCAGGATACTATAGTGAAATTCATAATATAAGAAGAAAGTAATTTTTTTTAAAATATGTATTTTTTTTAAATCCCAAAACAATATCATTTTATGGTTGTTAAAGATAATTTTATCTTCAAATTTTTTGCTTATTCAATTTGTTATGAAAAAAAGAAAAATTTAATTAAAATATAATACTTTAATCGATATATGAAATAATCTAAATATTAGAAAAAAAAATTTAATTTTTTATTATCTACTAAACTAGTAATAATTGTTCACAATATTAAAAAAGGAAATCTTAATAAAATCAGCTCTTTTAAATTTCAAAGCGTATCTTAAGACTTAAATATAGGGAATATTTCAATAAATTGTTATATTATTCTTTTCTTTTTTTTTGGGTGGGTATTTGTTACATTATTCTATCCCGTAGTAAGTATATCAAATAGTGGATTGTACGAGATTTTTAATCATGCGTAATGGAAATGGACTATTGGTTATCAAACAATTAATAACATACAAATAGATGTATTACTTATTTTATTTATACGTTTCTTGAGCTGGTTTTTGTCCTTCTTGTAACGTGATATTCCTTAATTTTTATAAAATTAAACGTATCCTAAGATTTTGTGTGCTTATGTACCCCACACACAAAAAAAATATATATATATTTTATGTACTTGCGCACTATTCATGAACTCTTTCTTTACAAATATTAATATGTTTGTGTTTTAGGAGACAATTACATAAGAGATTCTTGCCATCTTTTTAAATGTAAAATATATAAAAAAAAATTATATAAATTTATGTAATTATTTACTATACAATTTTTGTTAATTTTGTATTAACTTGCTTCATTGGATGGAGCTATTAGCATTTATTTTTTTTCACACTCTTTTATATATACTTTTGATTTTTATTTACTTAATTTCCCTAAAGTATTTTATAAATTAAACTTGTTTTTATTTATTCTATGTTTTCTCTATTCAAGTTTTTTTGTTATTTATTTTTTAAACAAGACATAATGATATTTTTAATATTATATGACAATAGTAAGTATCATTAAATTAAAACATAATGCATTTTAAATCATCTTTTAATGATTATATAATTAAATTATTTAAAGTACTATTAAATAATTACTTATAATAAAAAATATTATTCAACATTTTTAAATGAATTTTATATACTCCATATGTGAACATGTTTACTCCACCACTAATTTCAGTCAAAGAAAATAGAGAAAGCGATGTATTGTATCATCCATGATTCTCAAGACATAATAATAAAAGATATTTTAATTAGTGGTGGCATGGATCATCCCCTCCCAATGACATAGAATATCTTTTGGTCTATTGAATCTCAAATTTTATAATTTGGTACTAAAAACATTAATAATAACAAAGAAAAAAAAACTGTTCCAAGAAAAAGTCCACAAAGTTAAACATGAATATTGTGAAACAATACCCAATTATATATCCACCAACTTTATGTTTTTGTTTTAGTAAGAGAATGCATCTGATAGAATCTACAAAACCATGGTCCCCAAAACAAGTTGCTCCTCTAGGGACAAAATAGTGGCTTCCTTTATGGTCACTGCCAACTCATCCATATGATCGCTAACTGCTTTGACGCGTAACTCCAATTCTCTTATGCTTATCTCTAATTGTACGAGAGCAATAGTTTATTAGATAGAATCATAGAATTTACATAACTAGCGTTAAATACAGCCAAAGCATACATTAGATTAGTTTGATGTCAAAGAAATCAAGCTCTGAAGCGGAACCTACGATCATTATAGTTGTGATTTCCTAGTTCAGAGCAATTAGCTGAACTTGAATATCATAATTGATCTTTTTTTTTTTTTTTAATTATAATTGATCTCTTTGTTACTTTAGTTGATAACTAGTGCTTGTTGGGTTGGAACATATCTTTATGTGAGCTAATTGGTGGACCTTTCTACTACCTAAGTAAACATCAAGTACTGGTGCGTTGGAACATCAAAATTTGAATGACCAAATAATATGGATCCACTTAATTTGTTTCTCATAAATTAAAGACGAAGGTATTGGAGCACATTTTGGAGTAGGTACTTTCTTACCAAAAAGATAAATATGAGGGGAAATAATAATGGTAAGATTAGTATAAATTAATTATTTTTTGTCATATTTGATAAAATACGTGTACTCAGTACCACTGAAAATATTTTCGCTTTCATGCCCTTTCATGATAAAAGTAATAATTATTTGAGGGTTATTGCCTTTTTATCACGACTCCAGCAGCATGCTATTCCACAACCCCTTCATTTGGCATATATACCAAATTATCATTTAGCCCTTCAATATGTTTTAAATTAAATTATACACTTAATTCTCACTAAATATAAAATATAATTCTCACACGCCCAATCAACAAGTCCATTAAACCATTGTACATTACTATCTCTCTGAGGTATATCAGGATGTTTCTCATTTCTCTTCTTAGTTTTACGTACATGACACATCTTCGTTATAATTGATGTTATAGATAAGTTTGAATTCAAAATGATATGCTTGACATAGTGGCACCAGGAAGTTAAGATCAGCACCATTCATTGACAGTGTCGACATTTCAAAAATGACATGAATCCATAATAGAAAGGCACCCCACCCCACCCACACACTCACACTCTTTTGAAAGCTCATCAAGCTTATCCGCTTATCCTCTCCGCAATGGGCTCCTTTCACCATAGGCTCAGTTTTATGTCTATGTGACAAACAAATTTATCTGTTTTAAAAGCAAAAACCATATTCCCTATTTTTTAATAATGAATACTATTGATAAATAACTTTTTCTTCCCAATATTATTTTGAATACATTGTTAATAGAGATGTTAAAAAAAAAAAAGAGAGAGAGACAGAAAAATTATGCAAGTTTTTTCTGTTATAAAAAGTTATTTTAACATGTCAAAAATAGTTTTTTCAAGTATAGCTGGTCATTGTAAAGTTATTAATTAGTTTTGTTTGACGAAAAAAAGAACTCAAAGAAAAGTACAAATACAGGACGGTCGAGATACGTATCTCACGCAAGAAAACAAATACAAGAGGAAGAAGAAGAAGAAGAAAATGCACGGGAGTACAGAAACCCAGACGGCAAGACATAACGGAATGTTGACGGAACGAACGCCGGCGAGAAAGAAACAAAACAGAGAAACAGAGAAATTGAGATAGAAAAGAAATTGGACGACGTAACGAAAAATCTTGGATGAATCAAGTTCAAATTTCGAATTGAAGTTTTACTTCAATTTTGAAGTGCGTACTAGTATATTTTTGATTTTTAATTATTATTTTTTTCGTGAAATTAGGTGCAAAAGCTTCAATCATCGCCATCAATGGCAGCCACTTTTTCGCTTGCATTCTATTCTATATTATATACACACACAAGAACGAAACGAAGCATGTCGAAAGTCCACATCCACCATCTTCGATAGGATTTCGGTTCTCGGAGTAACAAAAAAACTAGTCCGTTCCGAATCGCCGGCGAAGTCGCCAGATCTTAATTTGTTTCCACCGAGTTCGCAGCCATCCGCGGCGGCCGGAGCTACTCGTTCACGAATCTTCTTCCGCTATGACATGACGGAGAGCCTGCTCGGTCGCGGACAGAAGTCGCCGCGCCGCCGCTGCTGGTGCGACGATGGCCGGATCAGCACCGATAAGGCTCTCTTCACGAGATCGCCCTCGACGCCGCGGATTCTCACGAGCGAGTTCGTCATCGCCGACCTCCGAGCGTTGAGGCGGTGCGGCGAATACGACGGCGGCGATCGAGAGCCGCAGCTCTTGTGGAGGCTGCAGCGGAAGGAGCCAGGGTGTGTTGAGGGCGAGCACATGCAGGTTCGCTTCTGTTGGTGGCTCCGACGTTTGACCGCCTCGCCGGTGCCGGTGCCGGTGCCGGCGTTGGCGACGGAGATGGAACGGTTAGAGGAAATAGAACGGTCGAGGGAGAACCGGACAGAGTGAACCGAACCGGACGAACCGCAGAGATTGACACGTGTGGGGGAGATGGAGCGGTGGAAGAAAGTGGCTGAGCGAGACGAGAAGCTTGAAGTTGAGGATGCAAAGGCGGTGGAAGAATAGGATGCCGGCGGTGGTCGGGAATTGCAAAATCTGCCGGCCGGCGAGAGTGATCGTAGAACTGGTCCGCTTGATTTTCTAGAATATGCCGCCATTTTAGAGAAAGAAGCGTAACATAGAGAGAGAATGTAAAAGCTATCGACCATCTGGTTTGGCAAACATTGTTTCACTCTAACTATGTATATATAGGAATTTTGAATGAATGGAAAAAATTGGTGGAAGATGGTGATATTTTGGTTATTTTGTGATTGGGGTTTTAACTTCTTTGTATTTTCGTTGGTGACCCTTACTTTGCATATCTTATCTTTGGCCATACATGATGGCAAAAAAATTAAAATAATGTAATTAATTAAAATAATTATGCATTTAATGCTGTTTTGTTAAAAATTACATATCTGTTGCACAATGAGACGCCTTCTTTGGGCGTCACATGTGACGCCCAAAGAGGGCGTCTCAAGTGCAACCTATATATACCCCACTTTCTTTTTTTCACTCCTTACTCATTTACCTCTCCAACCTCTCTCTAACCGCGGTTCGTAGCGAAGCTCTGCCAACGTAGGTAAGGTCATAATACCTCATATGTATACATTTAAATTACAGTGCTAGTTAGTAATACATGTTAGGATTGATTGTATATTAGAGACTTGGAACATTAGGATAGTCACTTAGAAATTTTGTGTCATGCTATGAATGTTGTAATGATATAGTAATATTATTATTCGCACCACCTTGGTAAAAAAGCATACGATTCCTCTCAATCACCGTACAGAATTGCCATCGCTTTCTGCTTCGCATACCACGCCTTTCTGTACGAAACTTGAAAGCCATATTTAGCAGTTATCCTTTCTTGCACCAAAGAGATTGACACAGATGGTTCAGACTTTATCATCCCTGCATTGAAGAGGATATCAGTGCCTCGATAACATCGAACGAATTTAATTACACATTTGTGGTCAATCACACATTTAAAATACAAAAAGGTACCTATCACGAGATCTGCAATAACGTCTGCATCAAGCTGTCTATGACCCTGGGAAATGTGCTCATTCACACATTCGTGTTTTCCACCCCATCTCGTTATTTTCCAATTTTCACGAAACACCGGTTTGATCGCCCTTACGCGCCACGGACAACCTTGATCGTACGCACAACATTTCATGGACAACTTTGCAGGCGTGCTCTCAATTACAATGGCTTCTTGATGCTCCCTAATAAGGTTGTGCTTAAGTGCCATTTGGACATCTTTTTTTGTCGCAAATTCTTGATTGACAAATAACATGTCACCCAGTTGCCACAGACCTTGTATTGAAGCCGATCCAGACACCGAACCATCAGTACATGATTCTTGTTCGCTCTGATAACTCCAATCAATGTAAGAATAATGCGGAATTCCTTCCCAAAAAGGAATAACATCTGTGTCACCTGCAATTCACCCATTATAATTTTTTAATACGAACTTACTACTAATTCAGGCAACATTAAATCAGTTATTTATTCACGCAGTATACAAATGGGAACAATTACCTTCTTGTGGAATACCAAACGGAGCAGACGCAACATCATTCAACTGCGGCATTTGCGCGACGACTGGTTGATGGAATATTGGAATTTCAGACGCACCCATCTCACGAGATTCATCTCCTTCTGAAGCACTAGCATCCTCCGCCAGAAGATGTTCTTCCATTGCCATATTTTCATCGTCATCATCGTCATCTTCGTCGTGCATTTCCCAAGTCGGATCATTTTCATCTCCCTCAGAAAAGATACCAACTGGAGACGCATGAGCGGCAGGAGAAGCTGGAAAACGGGGAGAATTTAAATAAACTGACCTCACCGGTATGGGAGCATTCTCCGTTGCAACGATGTCGACATACAACTCTAGAAAATCTGTCCTTGACAGGTTGCAAAATTCTTCCATTGTCATCTCCAAGTCTTCATCGTCAAGCACTTTCAAACTAATGTATTTATCACCTTGCCATACCCTTGTCGTGATCTCAGTGATACATTGGTTGTCTTGAAGACTTAACTTCTGCCGAATTCTCTGATGCAATTCGCCAATGGTTGTGTTGCGTTGGATACGTGTCACCCTTTTTTCACCTTCGAATATGACACCTCGTCGACCTTCTACCTTCCTACCATTGTAATATAACACAACACGAACAGAATCAGGATTTGAACTCATTTTTAAATAGAATTACAACTAAAATTCAAATACTAAATTAAAGATAAAGGAATGTTGGTGGAGAAGAGAGATATGAAGAGTGAGAGAAGAGGTGTGAATTGAATGGAGGGGGTGAGGAAATATATAGAGCACACATGTGACGCTAGTTTTGGGCGTCACATGTGACGCCCCATTGGGGCGTCTTATCCATGGTAAGACGCCCCAATGGGGCGTCACATGTGACGCCCAAAACTGGCGTCACATTGTGCAGTAGATGTGTAATTTTTTACGAAACAACATTAAATGCGTAATTATTTTATTTAAATACAATATTTTAATTTTTTTGCCCATACATGACGCAAAAACATTAGCAATTACTATGGTGAGTATGGTGTTTTTTTTTCTTTTTAAATATTTTGACTTAGAGCGAATTTAGGTTTAAGATTTTAAAACTCTCTCAAAGATAATATTAGATCGAATACATATTCTTATCCTCATTTGCTTAACTCTAATGCGTCAACTGAACTACTACTATTTAGTACGATGAATGTGGTTTGATTAAGAAGATTTAAGATTAAAATAATTGCTTCGTACTGTTTTTTTTCCCCAACATTTTCTATACATATAACTGCTCTTTTATTTTAGTTTTAAGCTTCATTTGTATTTTTTTTTTTGTATTTATATCTAAAAGAGAAAAACAAAATAGCTACATTAAGAAAACGTGATGGGATTTTTTAAAATAATTTAACTTTAACCTAAACATTCTCAATCAACAACGTCTTGATATATTATTTGTACATCAATTTTATTAAAAAAAAAAATTATTTTCAAGTAGATAATATTTTTCAGTAAAACTAATATACTTATAGATCACAAGGCCCGAAGTTCTGTGAAGTTAAGGAAATGAGAAGCAATGAAGAGTCGATTTCACACTATCTCATTGAAGTTCTTTAGGTTTAGGGTGTATCCAATAAGAGATCTAATTATCTCATGTTACATGAGATAATTATCTCATACAATAAAGATAAGATAGTGGGGTCTATTATTTTTTTTTAAAAAATAAAAATAGTAAACTCACTATTTTGTTTTTGTTACATGAGATAATTATCTCATCCAACATGAGATAATTATTTTCCATACAATAATGTTATCAAAAATATTTTGTTTTTTAATTCAAAAATATTTTTTTAGTTTGAGGAATAAAAATAGTTAGATATAATGTTTGATAAAATTAGTTTATTTTTTATTCTAGAGAATGAACCGATTGTTCAGACCAATGTTGATAAACTCATACCGAGCTGGCCAGGTCAACCAAAGAACCGGTAAATCGATCATACAACCGGTCTGGTTGAAGCAACGGACCGACCATGCATAAGATCACCGGTGTGACCCGGCCGGTTTTCATGAAAATCGATTACCCGACCCGGTCCCAAATTTTTTTTTCAAATTTTTATTCAAAATAATAATAATAATGGACATATTTGAATACTTTTTTTCTTATTGACTTACGTAAGTTATGCATCTACATCACTAATATTATCTCAATTATGCACTATGCAGAAAATTTTGATTTGATTTATAGTTAGAGATATCGTTTACGATACCTGAAGTCCCATATCACGATTATTGTATTTTTGTTTTATCCTTTATTGGATAATAATATGTGATTTTTTATTTTTTATATTAAAATAGACTCTCATATAACATGAGAGAAAAATTCTCTCATGTACATACATATCAGAGGAGAGATAAGAGAGAAAAAACATAGACTGAGCTTTGCCTCTAATTTGTGTGTGCAGGAGAAAATTTATCTCGTATATAACATTAGAGTATATTTTTCCAATATTTATTATATAAATATCATAAATATATTATTAACATTAAATATACATTATTTCTTAAAAATACTATTTATTAAATACATTTCTCTATTTGCATATAGATATAAATATCCGAGAACAGAATTATTATCAAACACATGGTGAAATACCAATTGTATTACACCTTTTTTTCACATTAAATGTATTACACTTTATCTTAATAAAAAAATGTGCTTCAATATTGAATGTGTGAAAAAAATATTTTAACAAGAATTTTAGTTACCTTATGCTCTACCATAAAGTTACTGTTAACTCGAAGAGTTGTTGTGCCTAAAATTTTAGTTACCATATTCTTTGCATACAACCAATATGAGATTTGTAACATTGCCACCTTTTTGAAGGGTCGATTTCTACGAAGGTTTTTACTCTATCGACACTCATTCGATGATAGTCATTTCTTTTTTGGCGGCTTTACTTATCTATCTGTATTCAATATAATATCCCTTTTGGAGGTATGAGTATGACATCTTAATTCAGTCTATAGGTAGCCCTTTCTGGTTTTAACTCTCAACAAAAGCACTAATTGTTATAGATATTATTGAGGTCACCATCCCAAAAACTAACTCAAAGATTGAGGCTTTTTTACCTTTATAACCTTTTATTAATAATTAATTATCAAATTGACCTTCATTATAAACTATTTCAAAAATTTAACCTCCCCAACAAACATAACATCAATCTGCCCCTGTTTGACCGTTGACCACCAAGTCTACCCGGGTACTCCCCACCCTACCCGGGTATTTTTTGAAATTTTTGCCTACCCGGGTAGGGAGGGGTGTACCCGGGTAGAGTTCTTCAATCTGGAAAAATAGTTGAATTATTTACCCGGGTACATAGGGGTGTACCCGGGTAAATCTCCACCAGAAACCCCAAAACCCCTCCTAGATCTCTGCAGCAGCCAACAGACATACAATTTACAAAATCGGTTTCTCCTCCTTATCTTCATCTTATGTTAATTTTTTTATCCCATCTTCCCACGGTATTGTCACCTACCATTTGCTATGGTTTTTTCAAATCTTGGGTTGGTTGAAAGTTCTAAACTTTTTTTTGATTTCTTTGCAAGTTTGGTTTTGAATGAATGCTTCTGAGAAAATGGTAC